AAGGGATATGGGCCAAATGCTGGCAAATGGGACTAGATTAATTTAGAATATCTGGTTGGCATGGACGAGTTGGACCGAAGGGTCTGTTTCCGTGCTATACAGCTCTGTGACTTTTTGTTTACATTGCTCGAAGTATTGTTGTAAAAAAGGATTGCTGATGTGTATGCTAACCATCCATCCTGACAATGTCCACTAATCAGGAGAAATTCTTTGTCTTTGTTATGAGCTTCTTTGGTTTCTTTCAGTTTTCCCTGCTGCTGGCAAGTGTTTTGTTACTGAACATGTGTACAGTTTTACTTTGCTATCAACTCTAACACTTGTTTTTCAGTCTGCTCAACTGGTATTTTCCAAAAGGTATCGTTTGACAGTTCCCTTGAAAGTTCCCAGTGGGTGAATTGCATCTTATCAAATGCAACGTGAAACATTGAATACAAGGTAGCATCTTGTAATTTTGTTTGTGTTGAGAAGAGAAACACTTGTTCATTATGTATTTTAATCTTAAACCTTAGCTCAATAATTTAATTGAAGACCTTCTTGTAGATCCATGTTACCACAAAGTTGTTTCTTTAATCAATAGTGGTACATCATTTTCTTTTCTGTTAGGGAATTTGGAGCATTAAACAACAGCCTCCACATTTAGTCTAAAAGCAAAATACTGAGGCTGCCGGAAATCTGAAATAAAAGCAAAAAACGCTAGAGAAACTCAGCAGGTCTGCCAGCATCTTTGGAGAGAGAAACAGAGTTAGTGTAACATTAATTTTGTTTCTATCTCCACAAACACTGTTAGATGTATGGAGTTTCTCCAGCAGTTTCTGTTTACATTCAACTTGGCATCTTCCTGGATCTGGAGTAACATGGTATCCAGATCTGTGGATGATCTATCCACAATTATTATTAGTAAATGTGGGTCAAAATGTCAGAGGAAGTTAACTATTTTTTAAAAACCAAAAGAACTGTGGATGCTGTAAATCAGGAACAAAAACAGAAGTTGCTGGAAAAGCTCAGCAGGTCTGGCAGCATCTGTGAAGAAAAAAATCAGAGTCTAGGCCCGAAACGTCAGCCTTCCTGCTCCTCTGATGCTGCTTGGCCTGCTGTGTTCATCCAGCTCTACACCTTGTTAACGTTTTGGGTCTGGTGGCCCTTCCTCAGAACTGCTGGTAGCTGGGAAAACATCAGTTTATATGCAGAAAGTAGGGAGGGGGTGGGGTAGGGAGTAAACGATAGGATAGAGCCTAAATAGAGAAAAGAACAGTTAGACAGACAAAGGAATTGATAACAATCTGGCTGGGAGGGTGAATAGCTGTTAATGGGGACTGTTAGTGACTGTTAGTGGTGTGTAATGGCAGGCTATGTGGTAACAAGGCCTGGTGTGTGGGGTATGGGGCTGGGACATGGGAGAGTTTAGGCCCTAAAATTATTGAACTTGATATTGAATCCGGAGGGCTGCAGGGTTCCCAAGTGGAAATTGAGGTATTGTTCTTCCAGCTTGCATTGAGCTTTCCTGGAACACTGCAGCAAGCCTGAGACAGAGATGTTGGTTAGGGAACAAGGTGGTGTGTTAAAGTGGCAGGCAACTGGAAGCTCAGGGTCTTTTTTGTGAGCACAGCATAGATGTTCTGCAAAGCAGTCACCCAGTCTACGCTTCATTTCCCCAAAGTAGCGGAGACCACACTGTGAGCAGCGAATGCAGTAGACTAGATTCCGGGAAGTGCAGGTGAGGTGTTGCTATTTTTTATGTTAGCTATTTTTTATTCCTTTCAAAAAATTTCTCTGATCAACATTCCAGCACTGCTATTGGCCTTGTCTTAGCAACTGTCTCAACTGCTCATTAATAGTTGATAGTTTAGGTATGAATTTCTTGACTTTGTTAATCCCCTTTAGAAATCTTTGTAGCCCTGTTATGATCTTGTTTACAGAAAGTCCCGATTGCTTTATTTTTTCTGGGGATCAGAAAAAATTGTACCTGTGTCTTGCACTGTGTGATCTAGAAATGGCTTTGCAAATGCACATTTGTCAGTTAAAATTAGGCCTGAATCCTGCAAATTTTTCAAGTCCTCCCTAATTCCATTATTATGCATGTCCTTTATTGTACTTTGTAAAAGAATATTATCCATTTGGCAGATTGTTCCATCCTATCCTTGGAGTATGCTGGACATAGTCCTGTGGAATAGCTCAAGCAAATCAGGCAGAAATAGTTTATTGAAGTAGTATCAACCAAAAGGCATTATATAGTAGTTAGCGTACTTATTCCCTGGCCAAAAATTACTTGTCAGAAACCACTGAAAGCATCTAATTTTGTGAACAGTGTACTCTTCACCAATTTAGCTAGGCTGTAATCAACACTTAATGGATTTCATACAGCACTGTTTTGCTGAGTTGGGTTAGGTCCACACAGGTCCTAACATCTCCATTTGGTTTAGGAACAGTGACAATAACTGAACAACATTTAGTTGGTATTGTGATCAGAAAAATTACTTCTGCTTTTGCATTTTTTCCATTTCTACCTTTACTTATGCTTTACAGGATGTAGTATGTTCCTTACTGCAAAAAGAGTTGAGGTACGACAAAGTGCCCCTGTGATGTAACAAGGTCAGCCAGGTGGACCTCATAGAATATGAGTTCTAAGATTGAGACTGTTAATCTGCTCCAATCAGGGAGCCCTGGCTGATAGATATAAATCAGTATGTCAGTCATCCTGTTCACTCTGAGAGCAAGCTCTGAGGAATATGGATCAGTACCAAGAACTCGCCACATGTAAATAAAGGGTGATTTATGATGGGATATTGGTCTCTGTGGAGTTTTTTTTAAGGAAGAGTGGAAACACTGCATCCTGCCTTGTTCAAAAGAAGATGGTTGTAGTTGTTGGAGGTCAATCATCTCAGAAGCACTGCATCATTATAAAAGGTTACCCAGTGCAAACAGCTTCAGCTGCTTTATTAATGACCTGCCCTCCACCTACAATACGAGCAGATGAGAGTAAGACTGAAAGGAGTTCCTTTTTTAATGTCTAGTTTTTTCCTTTCATTTAGCAATTAACTAAACATTACACATTAATTAAAAGTTTAGTTTTATTGCAGCCTTAAATCAGGAATATATGAGCTGTGGGAGAAGATATAACTAGTTTGTTGGTGGCTTGTTTAATCTGATATTTTGAAACTTGACTCAGTTGTAATTCAGGAAGTGTAAATAAATAACTCCCTCAGAGGTACCTTGACTGCATTGAGAACTGGTAATTGTGTGAGGCTTAAGGGATGATTTTGTTAAAATCTAAAATTCTAGGTTTTCTTTAGGTTAGCAATTAACTAAACATTACCGTTGAAGTTAAAACATCTTTCAGGACATCGGGATTTTTGAATAAGTGAAGATGACTGGCACAGGCATGTGATTTTGGCTCAACCTTTGTTGAGATGCTGGGAGACTCTTTGATATGTGGGACTAATGATGTAACCACACAAAAGCATCTACTAGCTGAAACCCAAATGGACTTCAACCAGGCACTACACTGGCTTTATCATTGGAAAATTCAGCAAGTGGAATGTATGAGTTGTGGGGTATTCCGATGGAAATGGATACTCTCACTCGTTTAGTGTAGAGCTGGAGGAACACAGCAGGCCAGGCAGCATCAGAGGAGCAGGAAAGCTCCCGTTTTGGGTTGGGACCCTTCTTCAATTTCTGAAGAAGGGTCCCTACCTGAAACATCAGCTTTCCTGCTCCTCCGATGCTGCCTGGCCTGCTGCATTCCTCCAGCTCCACACTGTGTTATCTCAGACTCCAGCATCGGCAGTTCTTGCTATCTCTCAGCCTCGCTAGTCTGACTGAGCTTGGGAAATGTTATTTGAGTGAATGCAATTGCATAGCTTCACTCCGGACATACCCAGTTCAGCCCACAGCAAAACCTTAAAACAAAGCCAAGCCTTGGCCAAACCGTTAAAATTTTCTTCAGGATCTGCACTGGCAATCCATTGTGGTTGCTGCTGGTATGTGGACTCGAGACAGCACAAGTGTCCCACTAGACCTAAATTGAGTAAGAGAACTCATAGGCCAATATCCAGGAGAGTGCACACTGTGGAAAGTCCTGGTTTGGAACAGTTAAATTGCTTAGCAACATCCGAATCAGTACCAGTCAAAATAAATGTCTTGTTAAATGGGGTCACTCTGTTCTAATGGAGATTGATTCCAGCACAGCCCTTTCAGTGATCGCAGAACCAATCTTTAATAAAGGTCACTCTGGATTCTAACCCTTAAATTTGCACAAAACCTCAGCTAGACTGTGAACCAATATCGGGAACCTTTCCAGATTAAGGCTACAACTTTGGTTCCAGCCTCTTATGAGAAGCAGCTGTTTCATCTATTATTGATTATAGTAAAAGGCTTGGGCCCAAGCTTGATGGGGCGAAATTGATTGAGAAAGATTTAGCTAGATTGGCTGAACATTTTTTGATTAGAAAATAGCTGCCTGAGTGTAGTCCTAATTAAATACCTGATGTTTTTCAGGAAGATCTAGGGACCATCAAAGGAGCCAAGGCTGACTTGCTTGTTCACCAGGAAGCAATTTCACGATTCTGCAAGGCCTGTCCTGTGCTAATTGCCTTACAGGTAAAAGTAGAGGCAAAAATCAGAAGGCTGGAAAGTGAAGGAATAATAAAACCAGTCCAGTTTGCAGAATGGGCAGCACTGATCATACCAATTGTGAAGCCCAATGAGTCGGTTCACCGTTATGGGGATTTGAAACAAATGGTAAACCACTTTTCACAGCTGGATAAATACTCAAACTTCCACATAGAGGATTTATACGCAAAGCTGGCAGAAAGGCTGACCTTCATGAAGCTGAACGTAAGCTATGCGTACTTGCAGTTGTGGTGAGATGAAGATTCCCAGAAGTATGCTACAATTAATACCCATAAGGATTTGTACCAATATACAAGACTGACATTTAGGGTATTGTGCAATGTTTTAGCAGGCAATGGAGAACATTTAACAAAGTCTACCCCACACCGCAATATTTCCAAAATGTTTATTTCAGCAAGTCAAAAACATCCCAGTTACAATGTATTCTTTGATCCTTTAAGTAGCGCAACCTAGGACTCATTCTGCTTTATTCATATTGTTAATTTATTTGCCTCTCCATGTGTAATTAACAAAGATGCATCCTCCACATGAAAGAAAACATGCAAATTTGGTTCACCAGAATGGTGCTAAACATTGAAAATATCATCCCAGCACTATTTTCACTGTTTTACTGACAAAGTAAAAAGTGTACTTCTTATGCCAAATTACAGAGCTGTTACTGCTTCAAGTCCACCAACCACAAGTTGGATCAGGAACCCAGCCATGTTCATTTTCTTTTTATTTTGGTTGAATTGTAAATTTAACAGATAAAAGCCATAATACATAAGATTGGTACTACATTTTGTTTTAGTGAGAGATGTTCAACAAAAATGTTATGGAAATTAGCTTTGTTGAAAATAATCAATATTTCAACACCATACAAATCACCATTACGAAGAGATGTGATACAAAAATATTTTTAAAAAAGATCACATGGACTAATGAAAATATATCTTGAACCTTTAAACAAAGGACACTTTGTGAAAGAGAAGGCAGAGGCACAATAATATCAACTTTGTAGCTGAAAGGAACTGATAGCTTGGATGTCTTCTTACTTTGGAAAACATTAAAAGAAAATGGCCTAGTTTGTGTGTTGAATAAGACTGTTATATTTCTGAACTCAGAAAACTTGAGAAAAAAAAACAGAAATTTCTGGAGAAACTCAGCAGGTCTAGCAGCATCTGTGGACAGAAAGCAGAGTTAACATTTCCAGTCCAGTGACTCTTCATCAGATTCTTATGTTTCAGATCTTCAGCATCCGTAGTTCTTGTTTATTTTGGAGAAATGTTAAGGCCTGTCTGAGAAGTAATAGTCCATTGCAGCCTTTGTCTGCAATACCTCTCAGCAAAGTATGCGAGTTGAAAGCCCACCTGAAATCAGTTTAATCATTCATGGAGAACTTCTAGTGATGGGTTTTTGGAAACTACTCACTGTCTCCAGCAAAAAGATTTCAGCCAGCTGTAACTGTTCCAGGGAAACACACCAGTACCAGAAGCTTGTGGATGCAGAACAACTTCAAGCACGGAATACCATTTAGGACAATGAGTGACTTATCCTTTTCTAATTAGAGTAAAATTTACTTGACCAAAATACTTTAAATAATCTGCAGAATTTTCATTTTTATTTGTCTTTTGCCAGGCTTGAGTATGTTTGTGTATGTTAGTTTCCTTTTCTTTAAAAAAAAGGTATATAAAATCAAATCTGTTTCTCAATTATCTTTGTTCAGGTAAGTTTTTAATCACAGAATCCCTACTGTGTGGAAACAGGCCATTCGGCCCATCAAGTCCACACTGATCCTCCAAAGAGCATCCCACCTAATACCTATAACCCTGCATTTCCCATGGCTAACCCAGCTAACCTGCACATCCCTGGACACTATGGGCAATTTAGCATGGCCAATGCACCTAACCTGCACATTTTTGGACTGTGGGAGGAAACTGAAGGAAACTCACGCAGACACGGGGAGAATGTGCAAACTCCATACAAGCAGTCACTTGGCAGTGGAATTGAACCCAGGTCTTTAATGCTGTAAGGCAGCAGTGCTAACTACTGAGCCACCGTTTTAAATACATGCTAACTTGTTTTTAATACTGACCATACTGTACCAATTGGTACATCAATACAGTCTAAAACCAATATGATTCCCCATTTTACCAACCTGGTTGAATCAAAAACATGTTATGACCAGTGGAACAGATGGGATTAGTGCACCCCTCCAAATTCAGTCATAACGTTGTTGTCATGAAAGATTCATATTTTATTCTGGGGAAGTAGATTGAGTAACACTTGAGAGTTCATCAATGTGAATTTGCTAAAATCAATGATCCAAGTTTTCCAGGATTGGAAATGCTGATATCTTTTAGTGCTGATCCAGCAGAGTTTGCAGGGTCAATAGAGAACATTGCACTTATGTGATGTTTTTGGGTGTTGTGTGATAGTTTGGCAATTTTATCAAATTTGTGGATGATGAGTAAAAATTTTGCAGAAGCTACTTGAGGGAAAGCAAAGGCTTGGAACTGTTTTCTGCAGGAAATGTGATAAATTCATGACTGTGAATTTCCCTGTGGACTATTTTAGTGGATTTGGTAGCTTGCATAAAGTAAATGAACTAATTAATGTATTATTTTTTTAAAAAACAAAAAATTATTAATCCGACTTGTTTGGTACAAGTATCTCTGTGAGCAAGTGAAGTAAGACCCAGAAGAGGACAGGTTTTGTAACACTGGAAGAAATAATGAGCTGATGAGTTGAAAGTTCCTTTCTCATTCCACATATTATTCTGTTCAGTGAGCTGAATGGGCATAAATAATCATAAGTTACAAATGAAACACACTGCACCTTATCATTTAAGCCTAGAATAATTTACAGTCAAATTTTTGGCCGATATCTCCTGAGCTTTGCTGCAATCAAAAGCAATCTTTGTTTCCCAGCTCTCCGAATACCCAAGAATTTTGACACCCATCTGTCTGCAGTGATATCTTTCTCACTGGCTTTGGGTGGGATTACCACTCAGGGTGTGTAACTGAGGCCAGGGAGGCAGAATTTCAAGTACTTATGCCTGAGGGACTTGAGGCTGTTTTCGTTAGAGAGAAGAAGTTTAAGAGGTGACTTAATAGAGACATACTAGATGATCAGAGGATTAGATAGGGTGGACAGTGGGAGCCTTTTTCCTCGGATGGTGGTGGCTAGCACGAGGGGACATAGCTTTAAATTGAGGGGTGATAGATATAGGACAGATGTCAGAGGTAGGTTCTTTACTCAGAGAGTAGTAAGGGCGTGGAATGCCCTGCCTGCAAAAGTAGTAGACTCGCTAACTTTAAGGGCATTTAAATGGTCATTGGATAAACATATGGATGATAATGGAATAGTTTAGGTTAGATGGGCTTCAGATTGGTTTCACAGGTCGGTGCAACATCGAGGGCCGAAGGGCCTGTACTGCGCTGTAATGTTCTATGTTCTATGTTCAGAGGGTTCAACAGTTTGTCACCTGCAACTCCCACAGCTAACATCTCCCTCACTCCACCCTACCCACACTGCCACACCCATCAGCAATTCTCTTTCTGAGTTAGAATTGACCTTGAAGTTAGTTGGCAGAATCATGGAATGTTTACAGTGCAAGAGGATGTTAAACCCACTGTGCCCCACACAATGCCTTGTCCCCTAGCCCTGCATTTATTTTCTTAATCAAATAGACATCATTAAGTGCATGGCATACATCCAGCACACCCATCCCACTATGCCAGATGTCTGAAGGTTACCAAAAAAAAGCAGATAAATAGCCACCATAAGATGGCTATTTAAACAAGACAAAATGAACTTGAATAAAACTGTCTATCTGTGATTCCAGCAACAGATACAAACAGCTTACCACTGTGTTGGGCCGACATAGAACTGGTGTGCATGTAACAAGAAATATTGTGCTGAATATTAAGTATTCTGAATTGAACAAAATGTAAATATTGTATGTCAGTCAGATTATTCAAAATGAATTCAAGTTAACTTTAAAGTATTTCAAATTCAAAACTGACTACCAGGTTTCAGTGATTTGTAATACATTCCTTAGTTTAGGTTTAGCAATGAGGTAAACTACCACCTAAAGGAAATTACAAACATGATTACTGAAAATGAATGCATAAAATGTTGTCACACGGTAACTTTTGTCTGCAAAATTTCCTGTCAAAGTATGCCATTTTCATTTGCGACATTTAGGCAAGTGATATAATCAAACGTGTTATCAGGTTGTCTCTTTCATTCTTCTTTTCTGTGAAAATACAAAGTTTTCAATTTTTGTGTTATGTTAGCTATTCACAGAACATTCAATATTACTTTTTCCTCTATATATATTTCTGCCTTTTACAAATAAAACACAAGCTAGAAAATTATTGAAGTGAAATCACAGTTTCCTTTATCTATTCCATTTATCATTGTTATGAAAATGTTAGATTTCAGAATTTCAGATGAACCTCTTAATCTCTTCAGAGCAATTTAATCATGAGGATTGGTTCTATCTGGTTTTGATATGAACAGTACATGGAGCTAACCTTCATTACTGTAGCTATATCATAACATTGCTCAGATTCTTAGTCAATACATTATGACAATATCTGAGATAATGCTACATATTTTAATGTGCAAACATATGGACTATTAGGTCTTAATTTTCAACTAGCTTTTCTGGCATAAAGCCAACATTATAAATATTTTCCCTGTTACAGTCAACTCAGAATTTTTATCTCTATGGAGAACATTAATTTGTGAACAGCTTGATCACTATTCTGTGTTAACCTATTCTGTGTTAACTTGTGGGTCAATTTTATTAATTAATTAAGAATACCAATGTAAAATTGTACAGTATAGCTATTTGAGTTCTTCCATCAGTCAATTATGTGGTCTGAACATTTCTGTAAGAACTGGAACATTTCAGTTTGCACTAAAATGAAATAAACTTGCCCAAGTAATTTTTTTTTGTCTTAATAATGTCCATTTCAGCCTAAGTAATTAAAATTAAACTTTCACAGGGATACCAGGTGTTCTCTTTCATTTTAGTCAATGCCACAGATTTGGGTGGAGGAAACTTCAAAATAGCTGAGAGGACCCAATTCCAGAATTGCTGCTTCCAATTCTATTACCAGAATTTTGTTTTGACCAGCATTAGTCATAAGTAGAAGTTGTTGGCTCCGTTAAAAGGTGAGCATTTAAATTCTCATTTAATTTTGATGGAGCCAGAGCAATTCTGTTAAATCGACATATTTTATAGCTAGGGAGCGATTAACCATGACGAATTACTTGTCCTGAGGTGGGAAACAAAGAAAAGACTCTCAGCATTCCCTTTAAATTACATTGACCAGATTACCTTCTCATAAAGCTGTCAAAGCCATTCATTGTACCATTGCTTTAATCAATATCCGATTTCATAACATTATGCAAATAAATACATTGATATTGGGAAAAAATAAACTCTTTAAAGAAAGATTATGAAGTAAAGATGCCAAAAGAACAAAGTCATCAGTCTCCTATGTCAACAATGCACAAGTTGTTTCAACACCACCTACAGGACTGAGGTCATTAATTATTGCTGGAACAAAGCCCAGCATTCATAATTTGGCTGTTTGCGTTTATGTCAATGACGCAAACTGAACAAATTGCCAACTATTTGATTTTCAGCTTTTACTAGACTCTCAGATGAGCAGTTTCTTTTCTAATGGATATTTTCAATGTCTCTTTGCTTATTGTGGCAGTTTCAGCAGCATTTAAATGACTTGCCAGTAATCAATTGTTCTGTATATAGTGATTGTGAAAATATTGGATATCAAGGATACATGGGGACATCAAAGGGTTATACTTGTATAGACTCATAGAATTTTGTTACACAGAAATAGGCCATTTGAGCCATCATATCAGTGCAAGTCAACAAAGATCTGACTATACTAATCCATTTTCCAAAATTTGGACCATAATCCTGGAGGCTATGGGAATGCACATGAATATCAAAACACTAAATCAGGTTTTTTTTCACCATGCTTTTAGACAGTCAATTCTAGACACCTATAACCCTTTAATTAAAAATGATTCTCCTAAAATCCCCTCTTTACCTTCTACATTTTACCTTAAATCTATGCCCCGTAGTTACTGAACACTCTACTCATGGAAATGTGCTATCCTACCCATCCTATCTACACCTTCATAATCCTATGCACTTCTATCAGGTCCTCTGTCAACCTTCGCTGCTCTAAGGCAAATAACATGAGCCTATCCAATATTTTCTCACTATCTCATTAATCCTCATGTTAATAAACCTTCCAGAAAACTCAATACAACTCACACTTAGCCAAAAATGAAAAGAGATTTCTAACTGTCATACAGCTTTGTTTATTCCAAAGGGATCTTAATCAAATGGGTCAATGGGCCAAAAAATGGCAGATGGATTTCAATCTGGACAAATGTGATGTATTGCATTTTGATACAACAAATAAGGGTAGGGTGTATACAATTAATGGTAGGGCCTTGGTTAGTGTTGTAGAACAGAGGGACCTAGGGGTACAGGTACATAATTCTTTGAAGTTTGTGCCACATGTAGACAGGGTGGTTAAAAAGGCGTTTAGCACACTTGCCTTCATTGCTCAGTCCTTTGAGTATAGGAGTTGGGAAGTCATGTTGAGATTGTACAGGGCATTGATGAGGCCTCTTCTGGAATACTGTGTCCAGTTCTGGTCACCCAGTTATAGGAAGGATATTATAAAACTAGAGAAGGTTCAGAAGAGATTTACCAGGATGTTGCTGATATGCGGGTTTGAGTTATAAAGAAAGGCTGGATAGGCTGGGACTTTTTTCACTGGGGCATTAGGAGGTTGAGCGGTGACCTTATAGAAGTTTATAAAATAATGAGACCTATAGATAGAGTTAATGGTAGTTGTCTTTTCCCTAGGATGGGGGATTTCAAGACTAGGGGGCAAATTTTTAAAGTGAGAGAGGAGAGATTTAAAAAAGACACAAGAGGCTTTTTTTTTACACAGAGGATGGTTTGTGTGTGGAATGAACTTCCTGAGAAAGTGGTGCGTGTGGGTACAATTACAACGTTTAAAAGACATTTGGATAAGTACAGGAATAGGAAAGGTTTGGAGAGACATGGGCCAGGAGCAGGCAAGTGGGTCTAGTTTAGTTTGGGATTATGTTAGGCATGGACTGGTTAGTCCGAAGGGTCTGTTTCCGTGCTGTATGACTCTAAGACTCTAATGTCTGCCTTGTGTGATTATGTTTCACTGACTAACCATCATGTTAATCAATTTCAAAGAATAAATACATGGTCTATCAAGCCATTCTGGGATCTGATTTGTCCAGTATTATAATCAGTTGGGATCATAACACATAAGGAAAGAAAACAAAGAACTGAAGATGCTAGAAATCAGAAACAAAAAACAGGAATTGCTGGAAAAACTCAGCAGATCTGGCAGCATCTGTGGAGAGAAAGCAGAGTTAATGTTTCAGATCCAGTGACCCTACTTCAAAACTAAAGATTATTGGACCCAAAATGTTAACTCTGATTTCTTTCCACAAATGCTGTCAAACGTGTTGAGTTTTCCCAGCAATTTTTGCTTCGTTTGGGACTACAAAACACACAAGTGATAATTGTGAATCAGTAAATGATAGGCACATCTTACCAAATTGAACTCATTAATTACAAATTCCACTCCTAAGGTGGCCCTCCTCTCCAATCTAGCCCCATCTTGCCATTAACCATTTCCCTAAATAACAAGTTGCACAACAGATATCTAATGAAAGACTAACACCCCTGATAGCCATGCTGTATTTAAAAGGCTATCGTGCACCCAGACAAGCACGTATCACACCTTCCCAGTGCTCTTGCTGATAAAAGCATTGTGACTATATCAGCAATGGGAAAGATAATGCAGTAATTCTGCAACAGGGCCAGGAGGTCTTAATGGTGCAGAGAAGTGTCCCCTTCCTGGAGGACAAGCAGAGAATTACATGGTACCAGATCATGGTAGCCTGGTCTGAGCTTGAAATCTGGCTCAGTGTGGTCTCCACGGGAAGGAGGAATGGCCAGCAGTGCCACAAGTAGGTCAATGACCTTCTCTGCTCCACCAGGGTAAATGCCACACTCTTTTATCTTGTATCTCACACTCGCTCTATATCTGTTACTGCACCCACCTCCCACCAAGGTTCATGCTCTAGCACTCTCACTATTGCCTGTAACATTTTCCCTCACTCACTCCCAAACCCTTCAAGCTCACCACACTACTAACTCTGCACAACCTCTCCACTGCCTAGTCACGCTCTTGCAACACCTTATCACATTTCCACAAGCACTAATGGAAATTCCATTTGCATTTGGCTTGTTCAATTCTTCCTTTTCTCTCATTCTAGCAGAAGATGGTCCATAGTAAGGCAGAAAGGGCAAGTACAGATGGAGTATATCTGACCATTATGAGGGGAATGCTGTCGCTCACAGAAAAAGACCAGGATTGCTCCTGCAACAACGTCAAGACATCCATGTTCCTCCAACCGATCAAATACCACTCTGTCAGCCCCACTGTCAGTTATAACAGCACACTAGTTATAACCACTGGCTGTAATGTCTTCTGTCTTTTGTTTTGCAGGTCCGCAGTGGGATGTCCATGATCTCTGGATGGATGGCCAGCTGCATTAGAAGCCACCTCCTTAATGTTTTAGGGAGGAATACCAAGGACTCGGAGGAAGCATCAATAAGGCTGCCTCCTACACCTCCCACCAGCTCAGGTAATGACACGCCAACTGGAATGTAAGCCTTTGGAAGGTTGAGAGCACAATCTGGTGAGCACCTCACAATGACATGTCTGGGAAGAAAGGTTGCTGACAATTGGGCTGTCAGAGATCAGGTACCTGTACAGTTCCAGGCAGGAGAGAGCCCAGTGTGTTGGCAATCAGGGACTTCCTCCAAATGCACAGGGAGGAACAGGATTGGCAGGCAGATAAATAGGAGGCAATGGATCTCTTTACCCAGAAGCTGCAGGAGAGCAGTTATACTATGGGGACCCAGCTGGCTAAGCATGTAACTATCTCTCTGCCTCTATGAACATGCTAGAGGCTGCCATGGAAAACTAGTCCATCACCCTTAAGATCTGCTGGATACATTTACCCACTGCTCTCCATCACCCCAGTAACTGATCCTCGGGACTGAAGGCATGGAGACAAGGGAAAAAGGAATCTGGCATGATTTCCAGGTGCCCCTTCTTCATAAAGAGACTGGGTGATGCTAAGAGG